TATGCGCAGTAGTCAAGTTCTTACGCGCTCGCGTAAAACGCCTGTGCGCATGTGCAGAAAGTTTTTAGCTTTGAGGTCCGGATTATGGGTGTCCGAATTAACGACTTTTGACTGTAATAAGAAACAGAAAAAAAAAAAACTTAATGAAATAATTACAGTGGAAAAGAAAAGTGCATGAAAATATTATGATGTAAAACATCTTAACAAAATAGTAATAATAATAAATAAAATAACATAAAGCATTTGACAAAAATATTCTTCAACTTAATATTCAAAAAAATCTGTAGTTTTTAAATCAAAGTATGTTTTCTTCTAATTATTTTATTACTGTTGATAGAGTGACTTTAATCAAATCAGATGTTTAAATATAGTCTTTTCTGTTCATGTTGCAGAATTATAGCATGTGTGGTATATCATGCAAAAAAATGCTATTTCTTATGGCATAGTTCAAAGGCAGTTTGAGAAATTTAAGCATGAAAATTTAACCTAAAAAATAATGTCCACTTTGGATGACCAATCTCTGTAAACAAATTTGGAATATTTATACTCTATCTGATAATTCCTGATATGTGTAACTTAGTATATTTTCAACTTTTTTTAACAGGTCCTTGTTTTTAGAGATTGGTTACAATGACCTGTTAAAAGAAGTTGAAAATATAAGTTACACATATCAGGAATTATCAGACAGAATAAATATTGCAAAAAATGTAGAATGTGATCATTTGAAAAAGGTTGGGTATGTAAGCTGCTACGGTGTATATGTACCCCAAATTTGAACAGATTCTTTGCTGAAAGTAATGAAGAAGCTCTTTTTTGAAATAGCTCATTACTGAAAATGGGAAGTAGATACAGTCAAAAGTCGTTAATCCGGACTCGTCGGGACTTCGGCGATTCCGGATTATAGATCATCAGTTTAAATCTGGTAAAATGGCATGCAGAAATTATAAAATTAAAAATATAAAACCGTAATTTACGAATAAAGAACAATTATGATCTAAAGGGTATCAAAATTTACAAAAAAAAAAAAAAACTTAATATTTATTTGTTTACTTTATTAAACATTTCTTTCAATGTAAGTTGTTTAAGTTGATTCATTTTTTATGTGATAATACATTCTCTTTAATTCTATAAACAGACATAATTTCTTGTTCAGTTACAAAGTTTCACTGTTCACGTACTATAATTGCTGTGTCGAGAATACCAACTAATTTGTCAATCGAAATTTTTTCGTTTTCAATAACCTCTGTCACTTTCTTCGCTATCGGAAGCAAATTATAATGAGGAGGCATTTGATTTAAATCTCATCAAAGATAGAGTACATCGAGATGAAATACTACATAGAGTAAGCAATTATAAGCCAAATAAAATAAAAACATCTGCCTTTAAAGATAAGGATAGTGAATTCATTGCACGCCGCGTTAAAGATAAACAAAGTTTAGATAAACAAATGTTAAAGTTTAGATAAACAAGCGTTAAAGTTTAGATAAACAAAATATATGCCTTTATCCATTTTTTGCAGCAATTCCATTTTTTGTGTAATGGACTTGAAGAGATACTTTCGCTTTGTATATCCTTTACATATTAGTAAATATATATCGAAAATTCTATTTGACATAATCCAAAGTTCAAGCTTACTTTTATAAAATTGCTCTAACAGTCTGCAAAAAATTAATAATCCGGATCCAATTCGAAGATTAAGGAACAACGCAATCTGCAACATAACTGAAATAGATAATTAGATAATTTTAGCTTAGCTTATCCCGTCCGTTATACATTAAATGCGCATTTGTAAACGTATTTTGCGCACGCGCACACGCAAATTCGCAGCGGTAAAGGTCTTGCGCGCATGCGTCAAAGCAACGCATGCGCAGAAAGGTTGTAGCTTTGAGGTCCGGATTATAGATCATTCCGGATTATGGGTGTCCGAATTAACGACTTTTGATTGTATTATGAAATATTGCTACAAGAAAAAGGTAATGGAATGAGCAAAAGAACTTCCTTTAATAACATCAAGGGGAGGCTGCATTCCAAAAAAGTAATGCTTTATGCATGGTGGGACTATAAAGGAAATCATGTATAATTATGGATTATTGCCACCAAATAAAACAGTAAAGATCAACAGTAAGTATAAAAAATAAAAAACAGTAAATTGTAAAAAACAGTAACAGTAAATAAAATAAAATAAGTAAAAACAGTAAAAAAACAGTAAATAACCCCTCTTATGCTTACTAGATCTTGCCCCCTCAGATTTTCGGTTCTTCAGGCAGCTTCAAAATTCTCTGAATGGCCTTACGTTCATTTTTTTTTGGAAACTGTCAAACAGCACACTGATTTTTTTTTTTTTTTTTTTTCAAATAAAACATAATGATTTTTTTTAAAGGAATTTCCCAGCTGCCTTAGAGATGATAAAAAGTCATAGAATAAAATGATGTGTATCTGATTTGATGAAAGTTTTTATACTGCTTCATTTGTATTACATTTGATTTGCATTATGTTTAATCACTGTTGGGATAGTTTTATGACTATTGTTGAACTCTGATACTAAACTTTATGACAGAATAGCTTGACAACATGTGCATGGCTAAAATGACCTTTTCAGCCTGTTCTTGAAATTATGCATGCTCAACAAATCGCATCCAGATGCCCAGTTCTTTCAATTTGCTGCACATTTGGTAACTTCATTCCAAAGCCAGCATATTTAGTTAGCTGTTAATATCATGGAATTTGATAGCAGTTATTGTAGTACACCACAACACAGAGCCTTTATTACATATTGGTGTAACTACACCAAAGCTCTCAACAATAACCAGTACACTCCCATGACAGTACAAAGTATGAGTTAGACATGTTAATCCAAAATTTTACGTCCGAACTAAACACAGCATTGGATGCAAACATTAAACCCGCCAAAGAAAAGAAAAAGGAAAACATCAAAGTGAGTGCACTTATCAAGCAAAGAAATCATGCTCGAAAAATTTGGCAACAGACAAGACATCCTGATAATAAGGAAATCCTGAACAAATTACATCATCAAGTCAGGACGCTTTCTAAACTTCATGCACAACACTCCCGACATCCTGACCTTAAACACCTCTTATTGCCATTTTTTGCTGTCATCTCTACATAGAATAGATTTCAACAAACAACTAATGTTGACGAATGCCATAGATATTGCTTAATTGCTCTTAATGAAAAATAAGTTATGCCTTTCCCACATCATCGAATCAAAGATTGAAAAGTGACTCAACGTAGATTGGACTAGGACATTCCAGTCCAGAAGCCAATTGAAAGGAACGGATAGTTCACGGATGCCTTTTAGGCAATGAAGCCGCATTTTAATTTATTACCTAATTATAGGGTAAATAATTTGCATGTTCTTCATTTTTTTATGTATTCAGTATTTTTCCTGCTATCCAAGTATAACATACATAAATCTGTTAACATTTATAAATCAAATCATTACTTAATCTTGAAAAGGAAAAGTATTCTTTTTCAATGTCTTCCTCATAGTTTGGGTAATTTTTCCCACTAAATATGTTTGGAAATACATAAATTTATTGAATATGGAAGTAAGTTATTTTCTCTTAATTTGTAAAAGTTTACCCAGCTTGCTATTTTGAAAACAATGAACTAGAGCAAGACTATTTTCTATTCAGAAAATTTCTATTTTTCAGAAAATTTTCAGACTATTTTCTATTCTATATTTTCTATTCAGAAAATAGTCTTGCTCTACTTCATTAATTAGATTAATTAGATTTTAATTTGAAAATGTGTAAAAGACTAACTATATTTTATAGCAGACATAAACATTGTACCCTGTATTAATTGTCTCCTTAGCCATATGTGCTCACAATCATGCCCAAACAACCATCCTCAGTGTTTCCTGTCCTATATTGCTGTTTAAAAAAATAAAATAAAAGTACTGCAAACTGAAAATGCAGTCTGACAGCTCAAAGAAGAGTTTATTAAAAATTTCAGAATATTTAAAAAGTATTAAAAATATTAAATCTGGGAAACATACGCAAGAATTACAAAACAGTAGATCCTATACTAACTAAATGACATTAAAAATTTGGCATTGGAATATTTTTTTTTTTTTTTTTTTTTTTTTTTTTTTTTTTTTTTTAACTATAACAAAGTGCAAGTATTCACAAGAATTCTCAGTGGGTATATTATAAATTAAAATGCATTTTACTTTATATCAATTAGATGCATTATTAACAACTAAATAAAGATTTAATTTATTAAGATGTATGCTTCCTACTTTTAAATCACAAGTTATATCATAACAATGTATCTCATTGACATAAATTACATTTTGTTTAATATGTATCAACTGGATTCATTGTTAAAAAAATAAAAGTGACGATTTAAATTATTAAGAAATGCATTTATTGCCTTTAAATTACTGTTTCAATTAATAAATGATTAACTGTATTTTAAACATAAAGTTCTTATGCTTTTGAATGAAGGACTATGAAAAGTGGCTGTGCACATGTGGGATACGTTGCTTTTGCATTGCTCACTTTATAGATAGCAGATTGATTCAAACCTTTAGAATATACAAATTATATTTTGCTGCGACAAGACTGTATAATTTAGGTGAAAACAATACATTTTCTTTGAGGTTTAAAACTAACAAGCATAGCACATGGAAAACCTGGCCTATTATTGTTTATTATCTGGTTTATTCAAGTGTTTTTAATTTGCTTATTATAATTGTCATGGCAAAATAAAATTTAAACAAAAGCAGTTCCCCCCACCACAGTTCACAGTGAATGCTTCTATTACAACCACCTTTCTAAGACAATCATCACTGAAAGTGATCATTATTTGTCAGAACTTAAATAAACATCAGTACTGAATGCTATATGTCTGAGACATTTACTTCTATAGAACACATGGATGGTTGACTTAAAAAGAGTTCCCTACATTATTATTATTATCATTATTATTACAGCATTATGTTTTTATTTTTCTGTCTTTTTATTCACTTGCAGAAAGAAGATCATAAAATTTTGTGGAAAGGTATTAAGAAAATAGGGGCTGGTAAGGTGAGTAAAAATATAAATTTTGATTTTACCAATATTTTTTCATAATTATATATTTATACATATACCCTGCATTAATACAGGATATTTTTCATAATTATATATTATGTTTGTAAGTGTGTGTGTTCATTTTTTAAAAAAAATGTTGGTTCATTTCTTTAAAGGGGAAATCAATTCAACTAGGGGACATGATGGTCTTATTGCGGACCGTGGCAATTTATGAAGAATCTAAGAATAAAGTTCAATTTTGTGTTAGGAATGGTATCAGACATAAAGCTATGGTAGAAGTTCATAAAATGTGTGTACAGTTATGTCGAGAAAGTAAGGAAAAATTCATAGCTTTTATCTTACTTCATTAAGATTTAATAATTCTGTTGTATTTTGACATGATCTCTCTCTGTTTTCAATCCTTAAAATAAAAGTACATATTCAGAAAGGATTTCGAAAAAGAATCATATTGAAACTATGCCTAATTTTAAAGCTTTTATATTCATATATAGTTATTGGTAACTTTCCATCCTAATAAAAATGTTTTATTAGGATGGAAAGTAACCAATAACTATATAATAAAAAATGTTTTATTGGTGAATTATTTGTTTATGTATGAAAGCTTTTACTTTAAAACATTGCAAATGAGTGTAAAAGATGTGTCTCATTACTTCTTAAATTACTTCGCATATAATTGTTTGGTTTCTGAACTTTTAACTCATTTATTATGGCATCTGGTATTCATTCCGCTGATTGTTAAATATTGCATATATATTACATGTATATGCAATATAAATACAACTTAATGATCAATGCAAGTCCTATTAATTATATTTCTATTGCCATTCTATAAACCTTTTTGTATCCAAGAATATGATATTACTAACTATTCATGCAGTTTAGTTTACATGAAATTTCCCTTAAAAGAACATGATGCAATAATAGTACATATTTATACAGAATAAACATTGTAATTATATGCATTATATTGTAAAATTCCCTTCGTAAAGGTTGAATACTGTGGGCATTGTCATTCCTAAACAATAGGAGCAACTTAATTCCATTCCATCATACTGGCTGGTTAAATTAACATAGTGCAGTGTGTAAGACTGGAGTAAAATTTTTTAATCAAAAAAAGAAAAACAAGTGAGAAGTGATGATGTAATCATGCTGATACTGACTGCAAAAATGCAATTTACAACATATAAATTAGTGTTTTTAGTTTGAAGAACCAGCATTTAAAATGAACTGTGTGCGAAAGATAGCTATAATTTGGAAGAGACAATGTTACTGCTGTATGCATTTTACACTGAACATTAAAAAAGATAATAATACTTACTCAGTTTAAAAATAAGCTTAGACTGGCGTAGTTTTAAGCATGTATGGCAATTCTATTTTTGCTGCTGCTAAACAACTTATGTTTGATTTCCCTTGAAATCAGTAGCCTTATTGAATAACTCTGCTAATCTAAAGTTGATTTTTCTTCTAAAAGTAAATTTTACATTGGCATGTTTCCCTTCTGATTCAATATAATAACAGATATTTTTAAAATAACTTTGTAACTTATACTCACATCTATATTACATTTAAGTAAATACATTATGTAAAATTGTTGTCTTAATTTTGACAAAACAGCTTTACTCACAATACCTAAAAAGAATTTTTTAATTTTTCAAAAATGGGGGCTAAGGAGACAGGTCTTTTATGCTAATTACTTAGATGTTTATACTATTATGATTTATCTAAAATGCCCACCTAGCACAAAATCAAATCAATAATTAGTTACTAAGAATATTATAAGAATAATTTTAACAAGTGCTTAAAAAATTAATTCTCATTTAAAATATGCTTCATGCTATTCTAAAGTGCCATCCAGAAAAATATCAAATTATATTATATTTAAATGCAGATGATATAAAAACTTACTTTCGCAGTCGCATTGCAACTACAAGCTATTTAAATATTATTTATTAGTTGCCACATTCGAAGTAATCCACTTTTTTTGTCCTTCATGTTGCTTTCCTTTGAGGAAAAAACATATGTATATTTATTTAAGAAACATATCCTAATAAAAATTCGCATTCTGCAAAATAAAAGAATTACATCTCTATTTACTTCTGGGTAATGTTTCTCTAGTTTAGTAATTAAAGAGCCAATTACATACTTCGCCTGTGTAGTAAATTGTACTATCAGCTGAATAGAATATTTTTCAAACTTAATGCTTCTTTTTCTGCAGTCGAAATTTCTCTAGCGGAATTCAATTTTAATTCCCAAGTCATAAGGGAAATTCAAATCTAAATCATCAACAGTATTTAATGGAAAAGCAATCTTCCTTCTTGGTTTCCAAAGCCCTTTCAAGTAGTTTTGATGTTAAACATGAAAGAAAATTTCTGCTTTCTTTAGTTATGTACACATTTGAAGATAATTTGGGTACCTTCATTAGCGAGTAATAATAGATTTAAGCGGCATATAACTTCAGTAAGTGATGGATGGTCATTTAACTTACCAAGCCCTCGAATCTGAGTTCTCAAGCGCATCGAGAGGTTAAAATATATTTAACATCATATGATGATTTCAAATCCTAGTGTAATCGAAAAGAAAATTTATTGAAATTATTATTTCTTTTTGGAAAGGCAGTATGTTAGATTTTCCTTGAAATCTTAATCCACTGATGACATTCTTCATTAATTTCAAAATTTTAATTTGTTTGTCATGATGTTCATTAATCCGAATGCTGCTTTAAGTATTTTAAGTAGGGAGGGTATGGCTTGGTACTATTAATAACATCAAAAAAATTATCAATTAACTGAAAGAAGTTTGATGCTTTTTGATTTCCTGTGAGGTGAAGTATACCTTTTTCGGTAGTTCTTGAAAATAATGTTTTTGCTGGAACTCTTTTTTTTTTTTTTTTTTTTTGTCTTTTGTTTCTCTTGACCATTAAATAATTCAGTTTTAGTTTGTGACATAATTTAATTTCTCCTGAATCTCTTTTAAACATCTTTAATAATATCAACATTTAAAACAGTTCCCTCTTCTAAAACAAATCCTTTATCTAAAAAAAGGTTTCTCAGTAATTTGAGGCAATATGCGAAATATGCAAAAGCCCATATTTATTGCATTTGTAGTACAGGATTTGGCTATTGAAAACTATTAATCAAAATCTGTAGCTCTTTCCACAAAGTACTAGATCCTCCTAAATCAGATACTATGGCTTTCACTTCTACTCCAGATGATTCAATGTGTATTATGTAAGTGAAAAAAGTTCTTTCTCCATTGGAGTTTTAAAATAAAAAATAAATTGTTTTTTCCACTGTGAAACAAAACCTCCGACTAAAACAAACAGCACTTCTTAAAAAGGACCAAATTTTTGGTCCAATTTAGAGTCATAGCAGAGCTTTGGATCTATATGCATTTTGTCAAAACTGAGAACACATATTTTTTCCACAGAATTCAAATATTCGCATTTTTCCTCCAATACAGCAAGAACATCACTCTGAATTCCTGGAATATCAAAAAAAATTAGCACACCATCTGCTTAATATGCTAGCACTTAGATAAAGAAATTCATATTTTTTATTTCCAAAAATCAAAAATCGTAGCTTTTAGATGACGAAGCTTGTAATCTGAATCTCTACAACTTTTGGCTTTGAAATCAGGTATAAAATCTGTAACTGTAGAAAGCATCAATTTATAAGTACTTAGATTAAATTGCAGGTGAGGTTGCAGAGTCTTTATTAGCATAACAAATTTCTTGCATTTTCACAGCTTAGTTACCAAACGCATTATATATTCTCAATTGTATTGTCATGAGAGCATCTTGTGGCCAATCTACAAAAAACAAACTTGCCATCAGTTTGAGGACAAAGTATATAAAAATTAGAAAATGTATCTAGAGAACATAAAAGTAAAACATTATTTAGTAAATAAAAGCAATAAATAATAATATAAAATTAATTAGCCACTAAAATTCAAATATATCAAGACATGTCTGCATCATCATCTGTCACATGTCATTTGCTGTAGCTTTCATCAGAGCATTTGCATTCTGATATTGAAGAGAGATGTCCTGTTGCTGTTCTAATTCAATGTATTTGTATTCAGTAGTTTAAAATTAGAGAATTTAAAATTAATTTTTTAAATTCATAACTTTTTCATTTGGTTTGGAACCTGTGCATTTTAAATTTGATGGTATTATACCTTCTGCTTCTTTCTACAGGAAAAAAAAAATATATATATATCTCCCTTCCCTTTAGAGGGGAGTATCAAGTGATTGAACTCTTGCCACTTAATGCATTCATTTAGCAGTCTCATCTCTGAAAGCTCTACCCAGGTTATACCATAGGAGACAACTAATATCACGTTCATGAGAAAGAGGAGGGGGAGGACATGTACAAACAGCCAAACCTTATGGTGGTTTGAACCAACCTTGGAGATCATGCTAGTAGTGATCTTCTAACTAGGATGGCAAAACTTTAAATTTAAATCAGTTTGTATGTAAGCAAATGGCTGAACATTTTGTATAACATTTTGAACCAGTTTTAACCAGATTCAAATTTCAAACATTGCAGGTGTACTGATAAATGTACAACTTGCTATTTACTTTAATCATATTATTTTAGTGCATTTTAAATCTTACCCCATAGCACTTTATCATGTTTTCCCAATTATATTTTTTATAATATGTACTGTGTTTTAGGTCTTCCATTTTATTTGAGATTTATCAATTTTTTTCATATATAGCATATTATTGTTCCAGGTTATAAAATTAATAGTAAAATTATTCAATGTATTCTGAAATTTCTAAATGTTATTAAATTATGCAGTAAAAAGGCTTGTTTGCATTTTTATTATCTCTCTAAATCATTATGCAATAAAACTTTGTTTTTGCTTTTCAGTGAATAGGGCATTTGAAGATTTGACTTTGCCTCTTGAATTTAAAATTGATCCTCCAAATGATGATGAAATTGAAAAATTAAGGAAAATTATAACAACTGGATTTACTGATCATGTTGCCAGGTTCTAATTTGGATTCTTAATTTAAATTTTATTATTATTTTAGTAATTAAATTTCTTTTTTATAACTCTTAAACAAATATGTATTATACAGTTTTAATTTATATGGATACAATAAAAGTGTGATAATCCAGCAAGTAAGGGACTGATGTAAAATTATAAAATGAGTAGGATTATTGGGTTTATCCAAGACATTGAAGAGAAGCACTAGTTCATAGAGTTTTCTGCTCTGAAACAGGAAGTTAGGAGTGCTCACATAGTCAAGTTGACACTGGCTGCAAAGACACAGTTCGAAGAACATTGTAAATTTGAAAACAGCCTGTTTTCAAATTTACAAAACTGTGCATGAAACAAACAAAACTGTGCCTTTAAAACTGTGCATGAAAAAGTAGCTTTAATGTAGAAGAGGGCATGTTATTACAGTATGCCTTTAATAAGTTAATACTTATTTAATAATTTAAGCATAATATATAAAATATGCTATTTTTTTTTTTAAGTTGACCCCCCATGCATTTATTTTAAATCATGGAGAGAAAACCTATGGCACTCATTATCTTTTCTTCATCTGCATACTAAGTGGGACAATTTTAACTTTAGTTTGATGTAGTTTTGAATATATATGTCTTTTTTTTCCCTCCCCTGCAGGTAGGGGAGAACTTATGTTTGATTGCTCTTAAAATTGATAGTTTTATTCAAAGTTTAATCCAATTTAAGATTGCTTTTTTGACCTCATTATAAATTTTACATTGGCATGTTTTTCTTCTGATTAGATATAACAACAGATAATTTTAAAATAATTGTCTAACTTATATTCACATTTATACACATACATTACATTTGAATAAAAACATGAGCGTTGTCTGAGGTTTGACAAAGCAGCTTTGCTCACAGTATCTAAAGAGAATTACTTAATCTTTCAAAAGATGGGCAATTATGGGAAATTACTTTGATGTTTATATGATTATAAATTACCTAAAATGATGAGGTGTTTTTTTTTTTTTTTAAATTATCTATACATTCTTGTTTATTTTTACAGTTAGGGCATTAAGGCATTCAGCAGTATTTACATCATCATTTGTAAGTTCTGTTTTAAAATCATTCGTATCTGATTTATTATTCCTATCATCATTTTCATAATCAGCCTCAAAATGAATTTTCTTCAAACTTAATTTGTGTAGTCTTTCAAAAGCATTATTTTTCTTTTCTTTGCACAGTATTGGATTTTAACTGCTTTTTTTGCAGTAATCCAAGCAAGCCATTTTTCATGTCATCTTTACAAACACTGCATAGAAAATTTTCACTACAAATTCTTGCATTCTTCACAATAATAGAATCTTGGCTTTGACAAACGTATCCATTTTCTTTTTTGAAAAGCAAATTATCTTTTGGGAAAGTGTGAAATACAATATCCTTATCTTTCTCATTTTCATGAATTTTATTCAACTTTACTGCAATGCAAGAAAACATATTACATAAATGATACTTTACATCAGCAGTCTCAGACTTACATTACATGTGGACCAGTGCACAATTTTAAAGTGCAGTGGAACCTCGAGATACGAGCACTTCTATATACGAGGAAAGTATGAGCAAAAGATTCATTTCTAAATACGAGCAAGGAATGTGGTATGGCTGTGGGTATGAGTGTCTCATTTCCTGATCTGACTCAACACAGGGAAGCTCCTTGCCAGATCACTCAGTGTTCTTTGAGCTACGTATTTGTGCACTTGCGAGTTAATTGTTTTTTTTACATTTAACATGAAAATAATTATTTTGTGATGTCTCCCAAGAAGATTGTTGCCTCAGTGCTGGAAAAAAAAAAAAAAAAAGAAGAAGAAGAAGAAAGCTATGTCTGTTGAATTTAAGAAAGAAATAATAGATAAACATAAGCATGGTGTAAGATTGACGGAATTGGCAAGAAATTCCTCATATTGGCAAGAAACATAAGCATGGTGTAAGAATGATGGAATTGGCCAAATGACCATTATTCTTACGGTCGTTGACAATCTGCGCTATTCTGAAGAAGAAGAAAGAAATTAAGAAACTTGATGTGGCCAAAGGAGTTACCGTTATTTCCAATCACCATCCAAAACTCCTATAAGATGTTGAGAAGCTATTGTTGCTGTGGATTAATGAAAAACAGGCTAAGAATCTGTGTTTGGAGCTTCTCCGAAAAACACCAGGTACGTCGACTGAAGATGAGATCGCAATAAGCTTTTTGGAGTTGCGGAACAGATTAACTGGATTTTATAAGGAGATTAACTTATTTTCAAAGGGGAAGTTTGTTTCTAGATACGAGAAATTTGCTATACGAGCTCAGTGCTGGAACCAATTAAACTCGTATCTTGAGGTTCCACTGTAGCTGATGGGCAGCAATTACAGAAAAAAAAAGGGGGTATTTATTTTTTAACAAAGGAAGCTATGAAAATTAAATTGAAAAGTTTTAACTACATCTTTGCAGAAACATGCAAACAAAAATAATGCAAAAAAAAAATAATATCAAATTTGTACTTGTATTTTCCCTGAAATCTAAAAGGTGGTATCTACAAAAAATTTTTGGTCAGAGTTTGGAATTCAGACATACAACTAAGTATTAAAATTTTCAGATTGGCATTTATTCAACTAATTGTTATACTGGGTGGCCATAATTAAACTGACAGTGCTCACAGTGTTCTGTAGCGTAATCTATTTGCAAGAATGACTCCACATTTTGTAGGAAGATTAAACAAGACGAGGGACGAAGAATTCCGCAAAAAAACAAATTAGTTACAAAAGTCACTGCTAGGGGAATATTTGGCGCTGTTTAATAGAAAATAGAGTGTTAACAAATGCAAATCAATACAGAAATTACCTTTTATTTTGCATTCAAATGAGGTTCAGTGTGGCTGCCGTTGTTGTGGACCACATATTGCATTCTGTGCGTAGTGTGCACAACAGCAGAAAGTAACATGTCTTCAGAAATCTCCCGTGATATGTTATCCTTCAACGTAGCCAGGTCCTGGACCACTCCTTGATAGACCTTGGACATAAGGTAACCCCATAGCCAGAAGTCACATGGGGAAGATCAGGCGACCGAGGTGGCCATGCAGTTGGAAAGTAGCGGTTAATGACTCTTTCTGTTGTGAATTTCTGTCATAGCATCTGTTACACCCGCACAGCAACATGTGGAGGGGCTCCATCTTGCATGAAAATGATTTCCCCGAGGCATTTGTCTTTGCGAAGTGGCCGGAATGATAAAGCTGTTCAACATGTGGCGATATTTCTCTCCGGGTAACAGAAAAGGGTTTCCGGCCTTGTGGGGGTAATGTTCTATAGAAGAATGGACCTACGATAATTCCGCTGTGAACCCACACCAAACAGTTACCTTTAGTGAATGTAAGGGAATTGCTGGTGACTGCATGTGGTGATTTGTCATCCCAAATGCGGCAGTTCTGGGTATTCACAGTTCCTTCAGGTAAAAGTGGGAATCGTCCCCCATAAGATTTTCCACAGCCAAGCATCATCCACCTCCATTCTGGCAAGAAAGGTGAAAGCAAAAGTCAATTGCTTATCATGGTCGGGGTACAGTAACTCCTGTACACGGCTGATCTCGTACGGATAAAAGTTGGTAATCTTTCGTAAGACTTTCCATACCGTACTGTAAAGCATATCCATATTCCGAGCTACTCCACGAGTACTAGAGGTGGCAGCAATATTGTTTGGTCCTCTGTCGACAATCGTCGTGGCAGCTGCTTCGATTGTATCCTGTGGTACAATATTTCGTCCTCTGCCTGACTGAACCTTCAGAGAACCTGTTTTCTCTAACATCGCAATTGCTTTTAGCCAATTAACTGTCACAGGGCCGCATTTTTTTTTTTTTTTTTTTTTTTTTTTTGGCGAGTTTTAAAAGCACGAAGAGCGGCTGACGCGTTGGACTGGTTCAGGTAAAAGAATTTGACCAGTAACGCACGCTCAACTAAAGAAGGAAACATTGCACATAAACTTTCAATCCGATTGATTTGAAACGTAACACATTGCCTTTTAAAATCCAAGCAGCTAGCACTGTGCGAATGGATGTAACGTGAAGTTTGAATAAAGAACTTCTTCTGCTCAGCGTACGTGATATTGCAGATCACGAGACTTTATCGGTGTTTATGTAGATTTTACGCTTTTTTTAAAAGTGTTGCCATATTGCACTTGAACTAATCAGAAAATGTGCATAATAAAAGGTAATTTTATTCAGTATTAATTTGCATTTGTTAACACTCTATTTTCTATTACACAGCGCCAAATATTCCCCTAGCGGTGACTTTTGGAACTAATTTGTTTTTTCGCAGAATCCTTCGTCCCCCGTCTTGTTTAATCTTTCTACAAAATGTGGTGTCATTCTCGCAAATAGATCGTGCCACAGAACACTGTGAGCACTGTCAGTTTAATTATAGCCACCCGTTATATTGAAGTACTAAGTAAATTACTTTTCATTTAAACTAAAAAATATATATATACGAAAGCTTCCCAAGAAGGACAAAAGAATAAATAATGACAACCTATTCTGTTTTTTATTTACTAGATCTGTCTGTGACACAAAACAGAAAAAAGTAATAATATCTGTATGTAAATTAGTATAAACATCTTTGTTTTTTACTACACCTTTCAGCTACAAAACATTATGATGTTTGTAATCTTGGAGGAAAATTACTAAAAAGTGTCATTACAAATAGTAGATATTCATCAGCAATCATGTTTTTTTCATAGACTTATTAATTTTCAGCTAAAAATAAAAAAAAACTGTTCTCATGTAAATGTTTAAAAAACAAAATGAGTATTCTTATTGCAAAAATTCATAAATTATTTATCTTTTGATGAGTATTAATAAAAGTTAATCAAATGTGTATCTTAAAATCTTTAAACAAGATTTATATCACAATGTAAACTAATAAGCTCTATTTCTAGATTTTCTGAAGAGTTACATTCGTTTTTGGTAATGCAAATAACTTAAAATTAGCCTTCAAAGCATTAAAGTCTTGTAAGTTTTTTTCAAATTCTTCTCACGATAATGCTAATTAATTTACAAGAAATGTATTGGCAGGCAGCATAAAATTTCTTCGAGGGCGATCAGTTTAAGTTTCACACTACTTAACAGAAAGTAATATATGTGATTAAAATTAATTTGGGATGTCTACATTGCTAGAATATCTCTTTGGAGCAGAAGGGAACTGCAATCTTAAATAGACAAAGTCAGCGCAGATGCAACATTGTGACATCAGACTACTTGCCATTAACTCCTCCTGCAAGGATAGCGTTGGCAATGAGTCACGCAAATTAATCAACTAGCCCTTCCCCTTAACCCTGAGATTTATCAATGTAATTCCATCAAAACAATTTTGTCAATAATAACTAATACAACCACCAATTAACATTGGTAATAATAAAAGTGCAAAATTTCAAGCAAAGCTGTACACAGAGAAATTCTTCAGATACATTTAATGTCCAGAAATATGATAGGTAATAAACTACACAATATGAGCAATTTATTATTCTTTATCAATTTATGTTGTAAAATAAACTGTTGTTACAGTTGTAAATTTACAGATTTTTCAGAATTCAAATATCTGCCTTCTCATCTTAATATTATTGAAGAGAATATAAAGATTCATTATTTCTCCACTGCTGTATGTGTGTTGTGCTGCCCAAATTTCCAGATATATTTATTGCTTCATACTTGACTTCAGTAGATTTTTCATAACTAGCTCATCTTTGGCTTATTTAATTAATTCAGTAAATTTCTTCTTCAGAAAATGTGAATAGAGAATTGTTCAGGGAGTGTACTTTTGAGTTCAGTGTTTCAAAATTGTTAATTACAGAACTATCAATATTTTTGTTTTCTTTTGCAATGCTATGTGGCAAGCTATTGCCATATAGCGTTCATTTATAGATATGCTGGCCTACAGTAAATGTTGAATACTCCTACTTCCAAACCTATGCTCAAAGCCTTTTCAGATAGCATTCTTATCAGATGTATACATGCTGGATTACTGCTTGTGCCAAAATTTTTTTGTGTTTATGATAATTTGTTTTTATTTTGTTGTACATAGGTTTCTATTCTATGTATTTCATATTTGTACATTTGAATGTTAATTTTGTGTTTATTTGGGTGCTTTCTGTTTTCTTGCCTCCACGTTGAAAAGTGCGAACTCAATGACGATTTTAGAGAGCATTTGTGAACTCATCGACTTATTCACAAAGAAACTGCCCAGCTCTTCTTAATGACTCATTGTGACATCTCCTGAAGAGCTGTGGGATTCTAATTTCGCGGGAACAGGAAAAATTTTGAAAAACACCGATAGAGGAATCGCAGAAACAGAGCTAATTCGATTTTATTCCAGATGTATTCCAAACAAATAATCAACAGTATAATTAATTTTAAAATTAAAAATTATAATTTTATAAAAAAAATTGCCTGAAAATTAAAAACTAGTTTTTTTATATAAATTATAATAAACATTTCAAATTCAAATAGTTTTTAGTACGAATAAATGTGTGATTTACCACAATCAATTTATTTTCCTGAATTTTGAGGTAAGTAAATGCTTAAATGTATTTCTAAAGTGTTGTTTCATCCCTTCTAGGAGATATTCTGATGAGGAATCAAAAAAAGACAAACATCTTAAAAATGCTTATAAGGTAAACATAGTTAAGTTTTTTTATAGTTGATCTATAAAATAAGTTCAGATCTTTTAATATAGAGAGATATAGATGTGTGTGTAAGATAAAAGATATATAACTATAAATTATATTTTAAATTAGCAATAGCCCCATAATTCCTCTTATTAATTTGAGAACTTTCCCTCTGTATTCTAAAAATAGCAATAACATTTTGAAACTGCGTCATATCTGAAAACTAAATCTGCATTATGTCATATTAATCTTCTACATCCATATAGTTTTCAGTCAATCAGATTAACCCTTTGAGGACAAGCACGAAGCGCAACCATGCGACTGACCCCCCCCCCTCCGGAAATCAGATGTCACCACTGGCCCGCGCATTTTCAGCAATTAAGTGTACTTTTATTAAAAAATTCATATAAAATCAGGATTTTAATATAATGGCCTCAATTTTTGACATTATGCACTTAATATACTAATTCTTAATATATATTAATATAAAGACTACATTAATAGAAATAAATAAAACATGCAAAATACTAAAATTATAACTATATGCATGAAAACAAATACTATACACATGAAAACACAATTGCAAATACGAAATGTAAAAGAAAAGCAGTAATTATTACCTATAGGTTATTAAATAATTCTGCTGTGTGTGGAATAATTCATCACGAGGATTGACACATAAGACAAGAACGGCTTTTTTTGCTAACATAACATTGAAGAAAGTGATTTGTTTCTCTAACCATTCCGAAATCTGTTTATCAATTTCATGCTACTCTGCAGGGGGGAGCGCAATGTACTGGAAGTTGATCTGTCAGCACTATCCTTATCTTAAGGGCAGATGTTTTTATTTTATTTGGCTTATAATTCCTTACTAAATGTAGTATTTCATCTCGATGTACTCCTATATGATTTAAATCAATTTCCTCGTCATTATAAATATCACGAGTACACATGAAATAGTTTTCTGGTTGCAATTTTGTAATTTCGACTATGCATAATGTATGCTTTACACATGCGCACGTTGAAAGAAATGTTTAATAAAGTAAACAAATAAATATTAAGCTTTTTGTTGTTGTTGTTGTAAATTTTGATACCCTTCAGATAATAATTGCTCTTTATTTCATAAATTATGGTTTCATATTTTTAATTGTATAATTTCTGCATGCTATCTTACCAGATTTAAATTGATGATCTATAATCGGGAATCGCCGAAGTCCCGACGAGTCCGGATTAAAAACTTTGTACTGTACTATAAACACACTGCAACCAGCTATGCCTGTTCTTTTCCCTTCCTGTCCTCTTACATTAATTTGATTCTTCAAGTGCTTTTCAAATAAAAAATAATAATTTATTTTGATTTTTTTATTTTGAATGAGAAGTTTTAAAAATTATTTCATCAGAAGTATTCTGCACTTCCTATGCTCGGTGTTCACATCAGCTTCAAAAATTTCTAGGAAAAGCTACTCTTGAAATCAAATTTATCAAAAATAATTATAATAATAATAATTGAGAGGGATCTGATATGAGTGGCACAAAACAGCAGATAAAATTGCTTCCTGGGAAAAGGTTTTTTTTTTATGTGGAAATTTGTTTTTGGCTAAAACTATGTATCTCGACTGATATGTTATATTTCAGATATTTTGTTATCAAACTTAATATGCATTTTAATGATATCAGGTGTACATGCCTGTATTTCATACATTATTTTTTTCATAGTTTGTTTTAAGAAAAAAAAAATCTAAATATTTTTTACGTCAAAATATTAGCTGAGGCCATCTAAATGGAAAATTAAAGTTTGTTTAAATAAGATTAATAAAAATTAATGGCTAGAGATAAAAATGGCTGAGTTGGAAAAAAGTGAGTGAATAAATCATGGGGACATGGAAACTTTTGTTGGTAATAATAAGCAAAATTAAAAAAAAAAAAAAAATTAAGCTAACACTATTTCAAATAGTAAAAAATAGTGAGAAAAATATGCATAAAAATATGGTATTCATTTTCTGTGATGTTAAAAAATAATTGTAATCCTTTTACAATTTCAGGACTTTATTTTAATGTTAAATTATAGCCTATTCTATTATAATATAGTTTCAGTTTTTTTTTTTTTTTTTTTTTTACTGCCTTTGTAAGTACTTTCTTCTTTTATTCTGTATGCAGTTTTAAGGGAAAAAATAATTTAAAATCTTAATTTTAATTTAAATGTTAAATGTTTATCAAGCTGTAAAATAGCTTTACTTGAATTAAATGCTAAATAAAATAGAGCATAAACTGATGTGTGTTACTTTTAAAATATCCATAATGTCAGGTTTGTTAAATAGTTTGATAAAGTAAGATAACTTTAAATGATTTGATAAAATTTCTTATGTTTTATTAGTGTTTAGATCTGGAAGATCCTGTTTTCATACATCCTAGCTCCATCCTTTTTGAAGAACTACCAGAATATGTAGTATATCAAGAAATTGTTCATACATCTAAATACTATATGAAAGGTGAGAGTTTTGTCTGTAATAATATAAAACATTTTCTTTTAATTTTCTTTTGCATGTAGACAAGTGTCTAAATGTGAGATATATCCATAGGAATATCAGTATGCCATTTTGAGTACCTTTTTTTTAACTGTTTATATGCTTGACATAGTTGACATAGTTTTCTTGTTGACAAAAAAGCAGCATATGGTCTGGCATTATAATGACACAATATGATATTCTTCCTAATGAAATTTGCCTGTTTCTTTCATTTGGCTGTTTTGTTTAAATCATTCATTGCTGAAAGTATCACTCCAAATTGAGTTTTTTTGTCAAGTTTCAAAGGCCCATCTTGTATTGGTCCTTGGGGGTTCCATCATATACTCAGCATTCTCTTATTTGGGTTCAAGCTGAGCCTGGGCTCACAGTATATTTGTTTCCTTATGGTGTATTCATAGGTAATCCACTTTTCATCACCGGTTATCATCCAGTCCAAAAAGCGTTCATTTTTGTTTCAGGGAAGCAGAGATGTGTATATGGTGACTCGATCATGCAAGTGTTTCTCACTTAATGAGGCAGCCATCGAGTATTTATACATCAGTCCTAATTTTCAAATATGGTCCAAAATATTTTGTTGAACTGAGTTAATCTTCTGTATCTCCAGTGTTGTCGAAAAAGGATATTGTTGTATCATGTCTTGACAATATTGTCACCGTTCAAACATGGCCACTCTCTAGGTGGCTTGTCACTAAGGTAAAAAAAACGCTTGTTTCAAATTTTTCGAATTACCTCTTGCACACTCTATCCGAACCTGCATCCTCACCGAAAACTTTCACTAAATTTTGACATGCTTCTGTAGCATTTCTTCTTTGTTGGAATGTGTGCAAAATACAATGTTGTAAATGAGTTTTATCAGTAGCCAAGTTTACACTGTCACATCTCACTTAATTATGATTCGAGACCCTTTTATTTCATATAATTTAGGAGAGCACATATATATAAATGCAAGATAAAGAGAGACATTCGTGTAGGTCTCAAATGAACATGTGCATGCATGTGGAAACTTGAAGTAGCATTATCGAACAAAAATTTCCAGTAGTCCTTAACCTCTTGGGGACCAGTGCCCGGAGAATGAAGCGTAGCCAGGGGACCATCCCTCCCCAAATGGAACATTGCCACCGGCCCATGCATTTTCAGCAGTTAAGCCTACTTTTTAGTTTTTCTTAGAAGTTCTCCTTAAAGGCATTTTTTTAAATAAATATTCTTATAAAGTATTTTGCCATTATTAATTACCTGATTACCTATATATTAAGCATATCTTAAAATAATTAAGTATTTGTTAGAGTTGTTTGATTGATAACATAAATTGAATGAGGCAAAGTTGTCTGCCCAGCGTGAAGAGAAAATTATGTGAGCATATGTTAAATGTCGTAAAGAAATTAAAAATTCTACTTTCAACCTCCATGAAAAATCTGATCATCAAAGCAGCCATGTGCTTATTTTTGGCTACCACCAGCAAATATTTTCTTTTTTAATTAGTTAATTTAAGCAATGTTGCATATTATAAATATAGCTTCTTTGCTTTCACGGTGCTTAAATTATTAAACGGTGCATATCGTGTTTCTTGAACAGTTGCATTTGCAATTTTCGAGTCCTTAATGTTGAATGCATTAGTATCAATAGGAAAAATAAGATTTTAACATTTTGAAGATACTGTAGCATTTCATCATGCATGCGAGAGGCGTCGCATCGGCCAATCTGCAAGATGTGCACATCACCTGTTAGGTTTACGTCAAATCTTCACTCTTGCCTCGCGCCCTCTTTTGGCGAGTGCCATTGGAGTAGAAAGACTGCTACGCAATGCTCCAGTACAAATCTCATTCTTATGTGTGGAATAAAATATATTTTTATATTAAAATCTGTTTCATGTTGTTTCATTCACATCCAGGAGTCAATATCACCTTAAATAGCAACCTCCTTCAATGGTAACCCTCTTCAGTACTGAGTATTTAAATATCAAAATTTATGTACCAAAATCCTGTGTTGCCAGAATTTTTTTAGCTAAAGTAGCAAAAGGATTGGACAGTATTATGTGATGTCAGAAATCAGAAGGCTTCTGACTTCATAAATTCAATCCCATGGGTACCATAATTTATAAGCTGTAATTCGCTGTTTCATTGTTTTATTAGACATATTAGTTTTGATAAAAACCATAAAACCAGATTATTTTCAGTTGTTAATTTCCATTTCTTTTAATTAACTCTTACTTTAGGATGTTTGTCAGTTAATTTGTTTATATCCATTGTAAGATGCTTTCTTCCATTTTTATTGTTAATATTGTTGTATGCATTCTTCTGAGTTAGAGGTTTATTTTTGTTATGCATTGTTTCTTGCTTTACTTTAATTCTTAATGCTTTCCACTTATTTAAAATTCTTATCTGATATAACTTTTTGATTTTTCATCAGATTTTGATTACTAATAAAGAACTCACTTCTTTTATTGTTAAATTTATTTGTGATGTTTTTTTTTTTTTTTAATCTGGTTTTGCTTATATTTTTATGCAATTTCAATTGTTTAGTTTTAGCATCATTATAACCAGCAAAATGATTTTGAAATATATGTGGTGAGGGCTATAAATCAGCATGTTATCACTAGAATTAGGATTAAAACTGACTTGAGCACAAAGTAGCAATAGCATCAGTATTAGTATTTAGAGTATTAAAATGCATAACTTTGCTTTATACTCTTTTTGAAATATTTTCCCTTTTAATATTCTTATTTTTGCAAATTGGGCTCATCTGTCAGTAATATAATGCAATCTATGATTAATGAGTTCAAAAAAAATTAATTGGCCTTTATACTAAAGTGAGGCAACAAGTGAGGTATTCATTATTGAAGTTACCTAAATCATTGTTTACATATCGGAGAAATTGTCTCTAATTTATATCTTTTTTATGTTCTACCTTATTTTTATGTATGTTCTATTCTTTTGATTTAATGTATGATTTTAATATGTCCCATTACAAATTTTAAACTTCTTTTAAGTTTATTACAAGTTTTTAATATTTTTAACACAGACCTCTTAAATATTAACAGTCCATAACTTTTAATTTGCAATAGTTTTAATTTTCCCTTTCTAGGAGGTAATAATAAATAGAAAAATTATATATCTATTCATGGAAGTTGTACAAGTCACCCAAACTGAAATTATTAGCACGAAAAACAGAAAAATTGCTAATGTATTATTACATATAATGTATTAACATATTTGTAAATAAATAAATAAAAGTATTCTTTAGAAGTACATAAAAAATTTTTGTGCAGAATTTTAATAGGGAAAAAAGTGTAAAGAATGATGTTTTGATACGTTGTCAGTACAATAATATAGTTATTTCATTGACGAGAAGACATTCATGTCTTAATTTTTGATATTTTGACTCTGTTTTGTTAAGCCTTTATAAATGAATTTCTGAAAATCTTCCTTTTTAAAATTAATCAAGTAATACTAAAAAAAATATACTTATAGAAAAAATATAGTGAGCACTCTATAAGACAATCAGTCATTTTAAAATATAAAAATTTGTTCATACAGTAAAGAAGTATTATGGTTCATTAAATCAGTTTTATGTGCTCTGTTTCACATTTACATAACTTGCAATAAGCTTTTGTCTTGCCTGTTTTGATCCTTATTAACTAGCTCTCAAACATCAGTGTTTTAAGCCAAGCATCTTGAAAGGTGTTGTTGAATTTTTTTTAGTTACTTATAATTCATGCTTTAGTTAATACAGCAACTGTAATCTGTTTTAAATTTTGGGATCTTACTCATCGATCACTAAAATATTAAACAAAGCAATGAATGAAACACATGAAAATTCCAAGGATTAATGTTGGAAACTGAGAGCTCATGTGCTCATTAAATACTAGGACTGCCAGTCGCCACCTTTTATAAATAAAAGTAATTGCCTAAATAAATTATTATTTTTTTATTATAAATTCATTTTAATAAATATGTTTTAGCATACACACATTTTGTTTAAAAAAATTTTTAAGTAGCAAAGCATTCCCTTGAGCTACTTATGTAGCTCTCTGTCACTTCCTTGAGCTACTTATGTAGCTCAAGGAAATGACAGAGTAGCAAAAAATAGACATAAATTTTAGTTACATATGTTTGTCAAAAGTACCAAATTAGAGAAAAATCACATAATCTGGCAACAATGCTTGAATCATGTATTTTTAAGCTTGAAAGATATAAAATTCTTTTTGCATGGAAAATTACAATAGTGATAAGCCGTTGTGAAATATTTGCTCTAAGGTATGCATTTCTGAATTTAATGTTTAAAATTAGGTATTGTAATGTACGTAAATATCTAAATTAAATATTTTCCTTGATCTCTGTTTATCGAGTTCTAAATTTGATGTCCTTGAAAATGAATTCTATATCAATAAAAGTCTACTTTTAAGGAGAAAAATATGGTTTCATTATACCTCTGTACAATGCAAAGTCTGAGATCCAGACGGACTAAGTTCAAATGCATATGTGGGTTACAACCTTCTCTTTATATAAGAATGGCAACGCCACCTCCAATGAGGAGCATGTGATTGCTTTGTAGATGTGAACGCCTCTCGTGGGGATGCCGGTTGGGAGAGGAAAGCAGAAGCAGCAATGTAATTCGGAAGCGAAAGACTGATTTTTTTTTTTTTTTTTTTTTTTTTTTTTTTTTTTTTTTTTTTTTGTGGATACTCTGATTCCATCTAATATGATACTATTGATACTAATCTGTTTTCATGATGCCCTGGACTCGTCATTTCTTTTCATTTTTTGTTATCTTTGTGTTAATTATATTCCCGTGTTTTCATCATTAAAATACTAAATGCCATTACTGTTGTCATCAGTGAAACTGAGTAAAACAACATCCTATGTGTATTTGTTTGCTTTAAATATTTCTTTCAATGTAAGTTGTTTAATTTGCTTCATTTTTATCTAATCCATTCTCTTTAATTCTATAGATAGACATTGTTTAGTTATATGGTTTCGTTATTCAAGTCCTGTAATTGGCACGTTGAAAATTCCCACTAAATTGTCAAATTTCTTCATCTTCAACAGCCTGTCTGTCATTTTCTTCACACTTGATAGCAATATTTTCTGGATTTAGAACCATGTTGTAGATTTCACCTTCCATTAGATGACTGATGGTTGGGACATTGTCATCACAATGAAAATTTTCTGGTATATTATCTTCATTTATTACTTCTCCACATTTCTTCAACAATTCCATTAATTGGAAATTTTCACTTTTTGCATGCAGTATTTGAGCACCTTCAAATTCGCAGCAATCATTATATAGCTATGTACTATTAATGATGTATCGTGAGATTCATTGATAACTAAAGGCTTGTTTTGCTAAATTTTATCTTGCTTCTGTTGCATGCTGATAAAGTAATTAAGTCTGGGTTAAATTAGTTATTTTTCCTACACATGATTTAGGCCTTCCTGAGTCCCGATAAATTCCCACATATACTTAAGGCTTATCCAGGGCTGGCACTAGACATTTTCTGGCCTGATGCAGTCACTATGGGTCAAAAATTGCATTGCCAAGTGCTTCTCTAAATTCTAAAAGTTTTTCATCATCCCTTAATTTATTGCTTCGTGTTTCTCTTAATTATAAAATTTTTGCCGTTTAGTGCTGCTGCATCAGCTTTGGGACCGGTCCTGGGTTTATCTGAACGAAAAATCAGTTATTACCAATTCAAACAGTACTAAATATAATCTTCGGGCCTATGCTATCTACAAAATCTATTTTTTTGCATGTCAGAAGAAATTTCTGTTAAATTTCTCTTCATCAGCACACTAAGTACTTAGCAGCAGAATTAACTGAAGTCTGTAATCATTGCCAAGCATAATGTCAAGTTGAAAATTTACCATGGTGTGTAGTATTCAGTTAAGATTAAAAAGAAATGTTTAGACATTGCTGCAGAATCGTTTCCTAAGCTGCAGTGATTTTCCAGTCATGTGAATAGTGATAAAAGCAAAGTATAATAAATATTGACTAGGCAAGTTTGTTTCAGTGCTGAAATTAAGAATTGGGTTTCTCTACATATTTTGTTATGAATAAATATCAAATGTGCAGTCATAAAGTATTAAAAAAAGGGGGAGTTCTGATAATCTAGATAGCCAGATTTTCGATCTTTCTAAATATTGGATATCCGTATTTTGCACTTTGTACTGTACATCAAATGTGATAAAATAGAGCATAATTGTGAATATTCTAGCTACTGAAGTTTTAACTTTTAAAACTCAGGTATCTGAATTTATCAATTATAACTGAATGTCTTTTTATTTTTGCAATTGATTTTAGGTACAGTTGAAATTGAACCAGAATGGTTAGCAGCTTTTGCACCTACTCTCTGTGATTTTTCAGAACCATTAGAAGATCCACCGCCAAGTTATGATGCTGAAAAAGATAAAATCCTTTGCAATATGAAAGGAACTTTTGGTTTGTTTATGATTGCTGATTTTTATATCTGAAACCATTGAAACTTAAACATCAGAAATTGTATATTCTGAATGTTGCAATACCAGGTTTACATGTGCTCATTAAACTATGCTTTTTGTAGGTCGCTGGCAGTGGGAGCTTCCATGTATCAGAATGGAAATGCCTCGAGGTTCCCTAAAATACAGTTGGTTCTGCTATTTTCTTTTAAGGGGTGAAATATGTTCTTTTTTTAAAGCATACAAAATGCATCTTCTTTCACTTCCAGCTATGATGACAAAATCATGGGCTAAGTAAGAATTAATTTAAGTTAAAGTGTGATTTTCTGTATCCTTGTATCGTTTTTTATTATAAGTTTAAAATGTTAGTTTAAATTTAATCTTTAAACAAATCTGAACCACATGGAAGAAAAATTTCTAAAGATTTTTTAATAACTTATTAATATATTACAGTTTTTTAGAATTATTGTAAATGATACAAAGTAATCACTATGTAAATTATACAAAGATCCTTTATTAATCTCTTAATATGGTAATCTAAATTTGCTTATAGAATCAATTTTTTCATATACAGTCAAAAGTCGTTAATTCGAACACCCATAATCCAGATCTCAAAGCTACAAACTTTCTGCGCATGCATCGCGTTGACACATATGCGTGTGTGCATGCGCAAAATACGTTTACGAATTCACGTTTAATGTATAACGGACGGTATAAGCTAAGCTTAAATTATCTAATTCAATTAATGTTGCAGATTGCGTTGTTCCTTAATCTTTGAATTGGATTCGGCTTATTATTTTTTGCAGACTGTTAGAGCAATTTTATAAAAGTAAGCTTGAATTTTCAATTATGTCAAATAGAATTTCTGATGCTAAAGCTGTCAAAGGATCTACAAAGCGAAAGTATGTTTCGAAGTCCATTAAACAAAAAGTGGAATTGCTGCAAAAAATGGATAAAGGCATATCCTTTGTTTATCTAAACTTTAACGTTTGTTTATCTTTAACGCCGCGGCGTGCAATGAATTGGAAATTGATCTGTCAGCACTATCCTTATCTTCAGGGCAGATGTTTTTATTTTATTTGGCTTATAATTCCTTACTAAATGTAGTATTTCATCTCGATGTACTCCGTCTTTGATATGATTTAAATCAAACTCCTCGTCATTATAATTCACTTCCGATAGCGAAGAAAGTGACAGAGGTTATTGAAAACGAAAAAATTTTGATTGACAAATTGGTCGGTATTCTCGACACAGCAATTATAGGACTTGAACAGCGGAACTTTGTAAATGAACAAGAAATTATGTCTGTTTATAGAATTAAAGAGAATGTTTTATCACATAAAAAACAAAGCAACTTAAACAACTTACTTTGAAAGAAATGTTTAATAAAGTAAACAAATAAATATTAAGCGCTTTTTTTTTTTTTTTTTTTTTTTTTTTTTTTTTTTTTGTAAATTTTGATACGCTTTAGATCATAATTGTTTTTTATTTCATAAATTACGGTTTCATATTTTTAATTTTATAATTTCTGCATGCCATCTTACCAGATTTAAACTGATGATCTATAATCTGGAAAAATCGATAATCCGGAATCGCCGAAGTCCCGACGAGTCCGGATTAACGACTTTTGACTGTATGTAGATATAATGTAAATGTACAGTAATATTTTCAACTTTCAGTTCATAATTTCTAAATTCAAGTACAGTAATAGCTGGAATATCCAGAAAGGTTACGAAACGCTGAATGCCAGTTATCTAAAAATTGAGAATTGCTGAGTTTGTAAAAAGTGCAGTTTATGGTAGGAGCCAAATGAGTGGAAGAAAAAATGTTTGGTCTAAAATCATAAAAGCACCTCATCTTATTTGTTTTTAACTTGAATGCCCAAAGCCTGCAATTAAAATCTAGTACAATTTCAAAAGCAGAAAAAAAAAAAAAAAAAAAAAAGCATTTCATGCATAAAGGCTGTTGTATTTTTGCAGGCCATGAAACATAAGAAAGAGTAAAGCATTTTTTCCGATTATAAAATTCTGTGGACCATGAGAGTTGGTCAAGATTCTGTCAGTCATACCAGCAGAAACTTAAAGAAAAATGTAGTTCTGTATTTATTTAGATAACCAGCAGATACAAGTTACAAATATAACATATTGTTCTTTGCAAAAATTAAACAACTTTATACTTAGCCAATGATCTTAGATTATGTTGTAATGCCATGCTTATTATTGGTGCTAAACATGCTGTTTTATTACAGTTTTTGTTTGGTGAAAATGGTTGATGTCAAATGTACTGGCAAAAATAGTTCTCACAAAAAAGGAGCTAGTGCCTGTTTTGAACTTTGGAATCTTTCATATATTCCCATACAATACTAACTCCCCACTTCTGTTTCTGCGAGGAGTATCCAGCTCCAAGGATAAATTCTTGGAAGAATACAATGGATACAGAGTACATTAGATGCAGTGAAATACAGTGAATAGGGTTTCATTAATGTAACTGATAATGTATTGTTATTCAATATTTTTGTCAGTATTTTTTTCATTCATTTAATCATTGATTGAATTCTCTTATCAAGGTTTAAAATATTTACATTTACTTTGTTTTTATATAACTGTTCTCTTTTTTTTTTTTTTTTTTTTAGATACACCTTTCTGTGTTATTCTAAGGTACAGGATGTCCAGCAAAGGAGTCTCTTATTTTATTCCTTATACCAGGTTTACATGTGCTCATTAAACTATGCTTTTTGTAGGTCGCTGGCAGTGGGAGCTTCCATGTATCAGAATGGAAATGCCTCGAGGTTCCCTAAAATACAGTTGGTTCTGCTATTTTCTTTTAAGGGGTGAAATATGTTCTTTTTTTAAAGCATACAAAATGCATCTTCTTTCACTTCCAGCTATGATGACAAAATTAAAAATCTAGAAGAGGAAGGCATTGAAATTATGTATTCCATTGAAAAACCTGTGTTTCTTGTACTAAAATACCAAATGTTAGATCACAGTCCTATGGCAGCAAGGTGTAGTTTTTCAAACACAAGTGAAGGTTCCTGGCAGAACCAATGTGAAAACCTTTCACAGGTTCTCTACTAAATATCCAGTGGATGGGAAGCATGGCCGGTAATCTGGTTGCAGGCAAACTGCAGGTACTCCTGAAAAATGTTGCAGCTATTTCTGGAATTATTCAACAAAATCCAAGGAAATCTGTCTGAAGAATTGCAGTAGAGACTAGTTTAAAGCATTCCAGCAAACAAAAAATACCGAGAAACAGCTTAGACATGTTTCCATTGAAAATCCAAGTCACTACATACCAGCATGCAGCTTTCGTAACAAATGTACCATTTGTTGTATTCCTGTATCAATCACTGTTTTCGAGATTTTTAATTTTGAAATCTAGTACTCCTTTGCTGGATACCCTGTAAGTTATTGATTAGTCAAGAGTATGTATGGTATATTAGTCCTTATTCAGTGTCCATTTTTTTATGTGATTACGGCAAAGCCTCATGGGTTATCTGCCTAAGGGGAGGTATGTCTTTGTAGAGAACTTTCTAAGAGAAACTGGCTCATATATACTTTACACATGGGGAAAATCACAAAAATGCCCAGTCAGCCTGCTCGTGGGATTTGAACTTTGGACTGAACTACCAGTGATCAGCATTTTTACCGCTCAGCCGCTGGTGTGCCTATTCTGTGTCCATAACAAAGAGTAGTAAAAATCTGAGAGGGAGAGAGAAGACTACTTAATAATAATTCTTGATGAATGATGCAGTGATAAGACACAAAGTTTGGAAAACACTCGTCTTTCTTCACAAAGCGGCAAAGCCGTTGGTTCTTCTTGTTATGGCAGGTGCTCCTGTGGTAACCACCGGTAGCTTTTTAAACGGTAAGCCAATTTCTGCCGCAAATGTCTTAAAAACGTTGTAAATGTCCTCTCCTCGCGTTCTCATCTTCAAAGGCAGAATTTTTAATAATTTTTCTTTAACAGAAAAGTTGTTAAATACCATTCTTATCATAACAGCTAATGGCGACATGTCGGAAATATTCATAGACTCATCAAATTGGAGAGAAATCCATTCACATGTTTCCAAGTCTCTCTTCAGTTGAGATTGCATGTCATCAGCAAGGTTCCCACACAAAACTCCACTGGACGAAAGTGCATGCACCAAAAGCCCACTTTGATAATTTCCCATGCTACAAATACCCACAGTGATGAAAGCTCACATTGATTAAACCCCACACTGATAAAAGCCCACATACATATAAGCCCACGATGATAAATGCACACATAATCAAAAGGGACTTATGGTTTTTATTACTATAAAATGTATTTATAATTTTAATTATAATAAATGGAGTATTCAGATCTGAATTTTAATGTCTCCAAATATATGTCTGTTTGTATATTTTATCACTACTTTATTTGTTTAATTTATTAGGTTGAAAGCAAACTTCCTGCTCTTTGATTAAGTGATTAGCTATATAACGTTTTGATGATAAATCTGAAATTGCATTTTATTACTTATTTAACTTTAGTATGTGTATGTGAAAATGAAAAATATCATTGTGAAGTTTCTCGCATGCTATTTTAAGGTAATATGGCTGAGATTAAATATAATTATGTTTCATTATTAAAACTATTAACTTTTTAATTAAAAAACACTTGAATTTTATTTTCTTCCTTTTAGTTTTCCTTTAGTTCCTTTTTAGTTTGGTAATATTAAAACAGTTAAGCATAATGAAAACTTTGCTAAGAGATATTTTATTCTTTACTTTAGACTGAGCTTATCAAAGTTTAAGCACATTTCTCATTGAAAGCTTTTTTAATGTAACAATTATAATTTGGCAATTTTCTAGAAATATTTTCTTTCAGATTTCTGAATAAATTAAAATTGTCAGCTGAACACCCTGTCAGAAAATGAATTCCAAGTGTAATCTCTTAATCTTTCAACTGCAGCAATTTGGAATAGTGTTTTTAATTTTCATTTTATTCATTTATTTAATTTTTTTGGGGGGGGGGAAGATGGAAAAGTTCTTAGAAGTCAACATATCTACAAATTTAAGTACAATCATCTAAATCTATAGTAATAAATATGTAGCATTTTATTAGAGATTGTGAAGATTACAAAGAACTATGCATATAATAACATCTAATAAAATTTTGTAACTACATGAATATATAGAGTCATCAGATTCAAAGTCCATCATTTTTAGATGCTAAGTATACATATTATATACATTCCTCATTCATTATTATGTATAGTAATAGAAAATTAGTATTAATGTTTTAAATTGCAATTTTTTTAATAATTT